TACTATATATATATATATATATATATATATATATATGAGTATGCATTCATTCTGAATTTCTGATACGGGTTATAATAAAAGAGATTCGAGATGGTCATGTAAAACGATTCACCCTGTATATCACACTGCATGATTTTTCTGTCGTTATGCCTTGTGTTGCGCTAAAAGATAAATGCCGCTGTTAAATGCCAATATAATCGAGCTAAAAAAGATTCGTTCTCGTGCAAAAGGTCATCAACGCGGGATATGTTTTTGAACACACCTAATCGGTCGAAAGTACTTTTGCGCAAACAACGGATCCGTTCTATGCAACGGATCATGTTTACAACGAAATGAATGTAGGCTAAAATGCTGAAATTGCTCGTTAAGAAACAACACGAGATTAATTATAACTGCACAAATATAAATATATACGCTTATCAAGCATGACTTTTGATTCGAATTCAAACTTTGACATAAGACATACATTTTATGTATGTATCAAGTGATGATTCAACCAATTTTCACGCACACTTCGTTTACATTCCCGTAGAATATAATTTTATAAAATTTAATAAAATTCTTCTTGCAAAATATTGTTTTCCAAAATTTGTTGTTTTGAGCTCGACATGATGCAATTTTCCATTCTACTTTTAAAAAAGGCATGTTGAATCGACACTCGCAACTCTCGAAGTTTATCGTCTCTTTTCCACAATGTCGATTGGTTCTTTCGCTGCGTTTACTTCGTGAGCGGCTATCATCGTGGAAATCCTTCTGACAGTTATGTGTCAGCATTGTATGTATCAAAAGGTTAATAGTGTAATAATATTATATTAATCTCTGTTAAAAAAACATATAGCGGACTTAGCGCGCGTCTGTAGTGTCTAGTATATATAAAAAATCGCTCAATAACTTTTGGATCTGTTAATTTATAAATTTTTTTTATTTTTTATCAATAATTAAAGAATAAATTATTTTATAAATATTTATAAATATATTTATATGCAGCAAAATAAATACTTATAGTTATAATATATGTAAAATATAACAGTCCGCTTATATTTTTATATTGTAATGTGGCAAATACCATAAATGAAATTGCTAAATAATATATAAACATTATTATATTATAAATAGTTATTAATAAAAGCTTAAATTAAACCAAATATAATAATTGTTAAATACATTTTATTTATTTATTGACCTTTGTATTTATTTGTGGTGACAATTGATTACATCAGATACATTATATACAATATAAGATACGCGTTTTGAAAAATAAGGGAAATTTCTTCTCTTCGGTATAATCAAGTGCTTAAAAATTTGATAGATTAAATATCGATTGAATATCGTCAATTTCGATAGACAATAAATATGCAATACACTCAACAGCGTCGATTAATGAATAATAAAAATTCTGATATATGACGATAGATTCTGATAGATCAATAGGTCAACAGCTGTGCTTAGACGATAAGAAAAAGAATACGCGTCGCGATTAATTAAGTTTACTGTCTGGAAGAGTCATATCTGAACGTTCGTAGAATAATTAATAAGTCTCAAAAGATATCGTTTTATGACATACGATAATTGCTAAATATGCGTTACGCCGTCTTATTGTTATTATGATTGGAATAACGTAAACATAATCGTTTATCTTTTTGTTTTGACATTAATAAAGAATATTATGTAAAAATGAATTAAACAACCATCCATAAAACTAAAATAAAGTGTACACAATAGATATACCAGTTTATATTTTAAATGCAATTCAAAATTATCATTTGCTCGACTTTTCGATGATATTCATTTTAATTTAATTAATTTTTTAATTGGGATAATGATACGACATGAGAGTAAACTTGAATCATTTTTGTTCTTTGAATCATTTTTTATGACAAATCTAATAACTATTTAAAGATCTATAATGATAATAATAATTATTATTTATTCAATAAATATTAAAAATATTTGAAGACAAAACAATGAATATTTCTTGTACAATTACTTATTTACTTATTAAGCAGTGGAGCCGATATTCAATATTGATCTTTTATACTTTTCCTCGCTCTTTCTTCTCGTGTTATTCAATTCTTTTTTTTTAAACATTATGCACTTCCGTTTTCTCTAGTTATATACTACGATAAATAGAAACAAAGAGCAGAGAAGAAATTGATTCACTAATAAATAAAATAGAATAGATGTAAACAAAGCTTTCTCCTCATTCAAATGAGAATAACATTGAAATGATAATTTTTCTCTTAGACAAAATAAAAGGTCAACTGGAAAGAAAGACTTTGATGCGAGAGTGCAAAGAAAAAACAAGATAGAGATAAATGGTAAAGGATGTTCCATCAAATTTATTTTGGATGCGATATACCGCACCGAATGGTTTACATATATAACATTTTATGAAAAAAAAGTGTTGCTGCACGCGCATTTGTTCTTTTATCTATTCGCATATATTCGCGCATATATTCTTTTTTCTGGCTAGCGCGATCCAAGTTCTTGTTACGGCCATCGCACATGTTAAATAATTATATAAATAGATAGAGTATCTAAGCGCGAAATCTATCGTTGGACATAGGCATAGGATGTGACGAGTCTTACACAGTGAGATTCAATTGTTCAGCCTGCTTGTGGAAAATCAGAACGTCCTTCATGTAAAAGTTGGGCACGATAAAGTTTAAGCTGTGAACCGGTCTGTCGAGAGGATATCCCATAGGACGAATGTCCATTAGACTTGAACCCCAGACGGGAGAGTCTACCTTGACGGCTTTTGTCTCATCGAAATGAGACACGCACACGAAAAGTTGGAACGGCATGCCCTCCTTCTTGCCCCTAGGAAGTACCAGGCGATCGGGAAAACCGTAAAACTGGCCTGGATAAGTGAAAGTCTCACCACCCTCGATAGCTTTCACCACCTTCTTGTACAGGACCTCGCTCGGTACCTCGTCCGGAACGACGTAGTTAGATTCGTAACTGTGGCGCTCGATCTTGTTCTTACCAGTTTTCACTGTAACAATTGTAAATTATGAGCAAATAAGAAAGAAATTATGTAAATAAAAGATTGAACTTTACACGTTTGGCGATGAAAAATCAATTTTAGCAACAGAAAATCGAGAAAAGCTGTTTTACTTGTTCGGAAAAAAAAAATTAATTCGAAAAAGATACTAACGATCAACGATCCACTGATCCATCTCTATAAAGTTCATGTAGTTCTCGCTTATGTCCAATTCGTTGCCGTAAACGTCATATTTGGGTCCAAGGAAGACACGAACGACCGCCTTGACGTCTTTGTCGCTGTTGACAGCGATGTGATAGGTAAAAGGCTTATGGTTAAGGCGATATTGGCGTGCCTTGATTAACATGGATTGAGCCTCTTTGTGACTGTGCACCGATAGGGCGTTGTTGACTAACGATTCAAAGTGATCAAAGAAAGTCAACAGTTTGTCAACGGTGACAGATTCAATCGTGACACCCGGGAAGACAAGTTCATCATGCGTGTAACTAGGTAAGTGTTCCTTATATCTGTGGGAGAATACATGAGAATACGTGACAATGAATGCTTTTAAGTCATATCGTATATATTATACCATAATTCGCAAACATTCGTACCTCATCCAGTGAGTAGCGATAGTCTTGTACATTCCGTAGAAGACGGGATCCCTCAAGCTAGTGGTCAAGAGTTCGATAATGGAAGGAACTACGGTGTGTTCCTTGGTGGCGTGAACCGTCCCCATGCCAAGGACCCTTCTGTACAAATGTTCCAAATGTCCATAGTATGTAGGATTAACGGAATCGGCATTGCCCTGAATCACATTGGCAAAGTGGTTGAAACCGTCCTCGGTGTCATAAATGTTTATGTGCTTGCCATTCACATCAACGATGTAGCCCCTGTCGATGGCATCAGAGATGCGAGTGTGGATATCTTGGATAGCCTGTCGAATAGCCATAGAATATCGCGATTTAATTTAATCTACCGATTATCATTCAAATAATAACGTTTATTAACTTTTATTTTTAAAGATTGTCCTAAACGCTAACTAAAATATCGAAAATATACTATATCTTGTACTACGTTGGAAATATTCTTTCGATACCCATTGAATATGTATTATTATTCTGTAATGTTATTTCCATAATGTTTAATTGGATATTTAAATCGATCAAAACATAAAAAAAAAAAAAAGAACACTTTGCCAACCTGGACATATTTGTGCAGGTGAAGAGGAACCTCGGAATTAACCGAGCGGTGCGGGATCGGCAATCCATTGTAGTGATGCATCATCGGATAGTAGCCAGGAACGATAGGCTTGTTCACATCGACGTATTTGATCTCACCCATGTCGTGGGACAGTCTTTCTAAATAGTAGCGATTGAGCAATTGTTTGTGGGTGAACATATATAATTCACCGCGAAGATGTTGAGGCATGTTATATTGAACGCTGTTCATCCAGATTGGGAAGTCGTGATTCGTTATAACGTAGAAAGCATTTAAGCCGATATCCTCGAGGTAATAGTTTAATGTTTGTTGCTCCGATACCTCATCGCCGGCCACGTACCAATTGGTGTAGTTGGAGGGAATGTAATAGTAGTCTACACCGCCAACCGTCTTCTTCATAGCTGCTAAGTCGAATTAATGTTTTAATATTAACACACAACATTTCCTTTCGTTGTATATTTAGCGCACAAGCTAGTTTTGATCTGGGCATATACGAAAATTATATTATAAATTTAGAGAGTCTGCTTCTCTAGAAAAATAGATTAAGATTGTTCATGCTAATTTGTATATTTAAGAAATAGCATTTATTTTCAGAACGTTTGTCATACTATTTAAGCATTATTTAAAATATAAGATTAGAAAGAAGGAAAGATCGTAATGCCGTAATACTTTATTTCTTTTTTTTTTTTTTTTAAAGAATTTCTTTAAAGAATTTTTTTAACATTAAGAAGGATATGAAAGCATTTGTCAAAAAATGTAAAATCGTCTTTTTATGAAATTTAATTCATGTTTTAGTAAATAGACGGGAAAAAATTGACGGAAAATTCACTAATATTTATTGATAAGATCGATAAGATTTTACTTCGAAATCACTTTCGCTTTGTAATCGATATCTGATAGTTTAATCAACATACCAACATACCTGATTGCGTGTTACCCATTGCGATATGATAGGCTTTGTGCAAGACATCGTTGTTGAAGAAATAATGCGGGATTACCTCGTAAAGCGGGGGCAGACGAATGTGTCTGGTATCCGGACGATGCATCACGACGACACTCAACACGTATACGTACATTTGTTCATTTATATGGAAGCGTGCCCATACGGCAGTATTGTAGAAAGTGTCAAAGTCCTGGGCGGAATGCAGAACACGGAACAAACAGATCGCTTCTTTGAAATGCTGAGGATGCCTTCCGAGGAACATCTCTCCACGTGGAAGCATGTTTCCATGTTTCCATCGTTGTAAGAATTCGGTTACCGCTTTCTGGAATAATAAATATATAAATCTATGTACGGATTCTATTCTAAACGTTTTTATTAACCCCGGATTAACTCGACAAAGCTAAATTTTGTTAATAAGAATTAATGACACTTTCTTGCACTTCAACACACGTGCACGAAATGTGCAAGAAAATTTCTGCCAAACTTTTGCCAAATCTCACGCTTGTTATGTTATGTTAAAAGACTTGTCGAGATTTTTCTTGTATGACGCGTTTCGATATCTTACATATCCGAAATAGATATAGTACCTGGTCCGTGAAGGAAGCGATGTTATCTTCGAGATTGAAGGATCGCGCTTTTTGATAAAGCTCCGGATGGTAGACGGTTGGTTGATCGACGTGCCAAAAAAGTTCGTAAATGCTCTTCTGCTTGATCAAATATGCCTTATCGGCAGTGTGGGTGGACTTCTGCGTGGCATGAGCCAGGCACGCCGTAGCCAAGAGCAACGCAATCGCTTTCATCCTCGTGCTTGCTTCGCGAAGGATCGCCCGGCATCATTTGTCCACCGCTTTATATAATCCCTCTCTATCGGGGGCGAATCAAAAAGTTCGAGGTGCAAGATCAGAGGGCCCATGAGGAAACCAGCGTATCGATAATAACCGAACCTTGTAACCGTTGTTTGTGTAATAATTTATCTTTACTGGTAATCATCTACCCTTTGACACGATAGAAATCCGGGATTCTTCGTATTTTTGGATTACGCTCACCTCATGCTATTTATTTTAATATATATATATATTATTACACTTTTACGTTTCCATAAATA